TAAATCCTATTTCCGCCTCTTCCAGCGCTGGATTCTGCTGCCCTCCCAATGTCAAGCAGCCTCTGAAAAGTGATCTTGCCCATTACAGGCAGTCCTCATTTAGTGACTGTTCAAAGTTACAATGGCGCCGAAAAAACTGACTTATGACCGTTTTTCACAGTTATGACCATTGCAGCATCCCATGATCAAAATCTAAATGCTTGGCAACCGTTTCATATTTATGACGGTTTCAGTGTCCCAAGGTCATGCGATTGCCTTTCGCGACCTTTTAAACAACGGGGAAGCCAGATTCTCTTAACAACCCTCTGACTAGTTAACAACTGCACGGATTCGCTTAACAATGGAGGCAAGGGAGGTCGCAAAATGGGGCAAAACTCAATTAACAACTGCCTCGCCTAGCAACAAAAATTTGGGGTTCCGTGTGTGGTCGTAAGCCGAGGACCTGTCTGTAATCCAGCCAGTGCCAGAGGTAAGCTCACCATACAAGGATCAGCTCAGAGCAAACTGCTCTCTGGCAGCCAAGCAAGCATGGTGATACAGGCAGTCCTCGACTTACAACTGAAATAGAGTCCAAAATGTCCATTGATAAGCAAGACAGTTCTTAAATGAGATGGGCATTGCTGTGTGATCTTCTTTTTATCATGGTGGTTAAGGAAATCACCAAAGTTGTTAAGTGAATTATGTGGTTTGTTAAGCGAGTTTGGCCTCCACCAAGGCCTTGTTAGTCAGAAGCTTGCAGATGGTGATCACATGTGACCCAGGGACACCCAGGCGGCCGTCAGACCCGAAGCTTGATCTCCTGACTATGTGGTGATGGTCATAGATGTGAGAAGTCCCTTTTTTCAATGTCATCGTAACGTTTAATGGTCTTTAAATGAATGGTTGTATGTCAAGGACTACCTGTGTCTCATCAAGCAATGCCTCAGCCTCAAGCATCCCTAGGTAAAAGGAGACCACTAAGCTACCAGTTTCTGTTAGGCCACAACTGCGGAAAAATGAAAACCGTAAGAGACAAATCCGAACTGCTGTCTTTGACCCACAACAGCCTATATGAGAAAGCCATCTCGCAAAATGGTTGCCGTGCCACAAATGGGGAAATTCCTACTGCTCAAAAGGCAAACTGGTAGTTTGCACCCTCTATCTATAAATTCCAGAAATGTAGAATAACAGGGCTGGAAGGGACCTTGGAGGTCATCTAGTCCAGCCCCCTGCTCAAGCAGGAGGCACCACCTTCATTTGTTCCAGATGAAACACAAGCCTGGGTTTGCACTGAACTAGGTGAAATGAACCACGGAGTTATTGCTTAACTCTTGGGTTTCATGATCTATATAATGAGTCAAATATTAACCAAGCACATTTCTGGTATGAGTGTTTGGTGAGCCTGGCCTGGAAATAAAAACTAACAATTTTAAGGAGAAAGTAGGACGAAATGAAATGCTAAAATGCTATTCAGTGCTAAAATGAATGTATTTTTTATAAAATAATTTATATTTATTATTTAAAATAATAAGACAGCATGCTAATAAAACAAAAATAAATTTATTTTGAGCTACTTGTAGCCTGCTTTTATTAGTTTTACAAATAACTCAAGACATCCACCATATCCAACACACTTTCCTCCTCCTCCTTTCTCCACAACAATCCTTTGAGGTGGGTTGGACTGCGAGGGAGGGACTGGCCCCAAGTCCAGCTTTCATACCTAAGGCAGGATTAGAACTCACCATCTCCTAGTGATTGGCCCAAAGTCACCCAGCCGGCTTTCATGCCTAAGGCGAGACTTGATACTCATCTCAGATTGGGATATATGGTGTGTGTCTATGTGTGTATTACATTGCCAGGTCTCCCATCTTCACCTCTTGGCTTTGCTGGCATCCTGCCATGAATTGTTAGGGAGGGTGGGAAGGAATTTGGGGCAGGAGCATATGGGCCTGGGAATGAGAAGACAAACAGAGAGAGGGGAGACATGTTGACAAAATAAGCCAGCCTCCAAGGACACCTGACTTGGGTAACCGAATGGGAAAGAGAGAGGCGCCAAATATCCCAGCCGTTCCCAAAACATCAAAAAGGCCTCCCACCGGACATTATTGGGCTGGCCAATGGGGAGGGGGGGGGATCCAGGGAATGGGGGGGGGATATTCAGATCTAGCTTTACTTTCTCTGCAAGCGCTTAGACTTCTTGAGTAAAAGCAGTAGAAGTTGAAGGTCTTTCTTTCCTAAACATTTGGGGCAGATCTGAGGACATTTTGCAGCACCCATCTCCTACCTGCCTTTATAAAATGAACCCCTTAAATGCAGTTGACCTTGTCAACTTATAAAATACCAGAGCTGAGCACTTTAGTTTCCTCTGCCAGCCACCATCCAAAACTGATTTTCTCAGCTATTATCCCAGGGAAGGGGAAAATATATGTATGTATGTATGTATGTATGTATGTATGTACGTATGTGTGTGTGTGTGTATGTGTGTGTATATGTGTGTGTGTGTGTATATATGTATGTATGTATGTTTTCTGAGGTTTTCGCGGGTATTTGTATATAGGTCTTTGGTTGTTCGGGTTTTCTCCCGCGTAAAATTGGAAGTGTCTTGGCAACGTTTCGACGAAGTCACATTCGTCATCTTCAGGCTGGTGTTTTTAGCTTCTTGCTTTGAGCAGCAATGCTCAAAGCAAGAAGCTAAAAACACCAGCCTGAAGATGACGAATGTGACTTCGTCGAAACGTTGCCAAGACACTTCCAATTTTACGCGGGAGAAAACCCGAACAACCAAAGACCTGTATGTATGTATATGTATATGTGTGTGTGTGTGTGTGTGTGTGTATGTATGTGTGTGTATATATAATATATATATATATATATATATATCTATATATATATATATATATATATATATATATATATATATATATATATTATTTGTACTGTAGCCATTACTGATTTGTCCGGTTTCAGCTGAAAAAGATGAAGACCAATGACCATTTCTGAATTTGCAAGGGAGCCCTCCATGCTTAAAATTCCAAGCCGTGGCATTTTCTGGGGTTTTATCTACCCACATTCAGCAAATGGAGGAAATAAGCACTGAAACTCTTTCCCAGTACTAGAAAATCCAAAGAAATAAATCTGCTACTCCAAGAGTCCTTGACCTATGACCACAATCCAGGCCAGGATTTCTGTTACTATGTTAAGCAAGGCAGCCACTAAGTTAAGCAAGCTGCAACCGATTTTACCAGTCATTAAACAGTAATGACTGTTTATACAGTCATTAAACAAATCTGGCTTCCCCCATTGACTGTGCTTGACGGAATAGAACAGAGTATCTTTATTGTCACTATGTAATTCACAACGAAATTAAATTAACTTTAATTTAATTTAAATTAATGAAAGCCAGTTGGGGAGGTCGCAAACGGGGTTCACATGAGCCCAGGACACTGCAACCATCATAAACACACATTCTGGTTGTTAAGTGCCCAAATTCTGACCATGTGACCAAGGGGGATGCTGCAATGGTCAAGTGTGAGGGCCAGTCTTAAGTCACTTTTTTTAGTAACACTGTAACTTCAGTCACTGAAGGAATGGTTATAAGTCAAGGACTATCCATAATACCATTCATTTAGCGACAGAAGTTAGAGCGGCATTGAAAAATGTGATTTATGACCATTTTCCACACTTGACAACCACTGCAGCATCACCCTGGTCACATGATCAAAATTCAGAGAACTGATTGCCGTTTCTCCTGGAGGTCACGTGATCCCCTTTTGCGACCTTCTGACAAGCAAAGTCAATGGGGGAAGCCGGATTCACTTAACAACCAAGTGGCTAATTTAAAAGACTCAGGGATTCACTTAACAACTATGGCAAGAAAAGTCATAAAATGGGGCAAAAACCACCTTGCAACTGCCTCGCTTAGCAACAGAAATTTTGGGCTCAACTGTGGTCATGAGCTGAAGACTACCTAAGATTTGCCTGTTAGTTGTAACTTCCTGTCACAATCGGGTATACCACTAACAAGCCCCCTCTTCCAGGCCCCTCTGTGGTGGCAGCCATCTTCCCCAGCAAGCGAAAGAGCATCTATCCAAGACATAATGGGTTCATTTCCGAGTTGTTCTCTGCCCTTTTCCTGTCTTATTTTGACACTCTGGCTCTCCTCTGCAGGCACACACCTCTTAAAATATTTATGGCGCTTGGAGAGCGAGGCCAGGGGGGGAACAAACATTGCTCAAGATGCAGAGAGCGACTTAAAATTCAAAGAGAAGTACAGCAAAGCGTGTCTACTTGTTTCACCCAAGCCGAAAGAAATTACCATGATCTGCTTTTAACAGAATGGTGGACACCTTATAGCTCATAAAAGGGATGATCCCTGAAAGGGTGGAGCAGAAGTCGTCACTGAAGGCAACACAGTTTAGAGGCCCTATCTTTGCAAGACACTATTTGCTATTTTGGAATTTATTTAAGCACCCACCCTTACAAAAGATAAGGAGGAGGAATACACTAAAAGGCAAAAATTTGTTTCCTGCCAATCTAATCAAAAGACTAACATTTTAAAATACAGGAAGGAAGAGAAAAGAAGAAGACAAGGGAAGGAAGGAAGGAAGGAAGGAAGGAAGGAAGGAAGGAAGGAAGGAAGGAAGGAAGGAAGGAAGGAAGGAAGGAAGGAAGGAAGGAAGGAAGGAAGGGAGGGAGGGAGGAAGGGAAGGAGGGGAGAGGGGAAGAAGGAATAGAAAAGAGGAAAAGGAGAAGACAAAAGAACAGAAGGAAGGGGGTGGGACTTCCTGCCAATAATTCTACCCAAAGAATTGTTGAATGTTCCTTGCTTCGACATCCATAGTGGGGGGGGGGGAAATATTGAATTTGCATTAGCAAAACAGAAGCTGAATTTCGTTTTTTTTGTTCGATTAATTTCTGGAATTGCACCATGTTGCTTAAGCATCCACAAAACAAGGAGAGAAGACGCCAGTGTAATTTGCAAAAACAAAGGTTTACCCTATTGCCTTGGTCCAAGTTTTTACCTTTCTACCTCTTCAGACCCATCCATATTCTCTGAAAAGATACACCTGTGGTCCCTTTCCACCTCAGAGGTGACTGCAATTTCAGCGCTGCTAGGTGCATTAGGTTTATGGTGTCCACTGGGATCCTTCAGTGTGAAAGCCGTGCTATAAAAATAAAACAGGATTCAAGAGAAACAGTTGAGGGTTATGTGCTTCAGCAGGTGAGACAGTGGAGAAAGGAAGGGCTCAGCTGCTGAAATCCATTTTGGCCAGAAAACAGAAATGGCAGCCCAGTTCTGCTCAGGGCTGGATGAACAGAGTTGGGAGGGACATTGGAGGTCTTCTAGTCCAACCCCCTGCTCGAGCAGAAGACCTTATACCAGGGGTAGTCAACCTTGGCTCTGTGACTCGTGGACTTCAACTCCCAGAATTCCTGAGCCGGCTGTCTATGAGTCATAAAAGAGCCAAGGTTGACTACCCCTGCCTTATACTATTCAAGACCAATGGCTGTCCAGTCTCTTCTTTAAAACCTCCATGATGGAGCACCAACGACTTCTGGAAGGCAAGCCATTCCACTGATTAACTGATCTGAGATTAGAGAATAACAGAACAGCAGAACTGGAAGGGACCTTGGAGATCTTCTAGTCCAACCCCGGGCTCGAGCAAGAGACTTTATATACCATTTCAGACTTCTTGGAAATCTCCAGTGATGGCGCAACCACAACCTCTGGAAGCAAACCGTTCTATGGATTGTTCTGTCAGGAAATTTCTCCTTATTTTCTGGATTGCTTCTTCCCTTGATAAGGATTAATGAGCGGGGCCCAAAGCATTATCAATACCGCATTTTTCTAAATCTCAGAGAATGTGGGTCTCCTTTCGTCCTCAGGAGGATATTTATCTTATTGTTTGTAAGCTGCCCAGAATTGCCTTATTGGTGAGAAGGTGGCATATAAATTTAATAAATAATACTAATGAAGTCCCCCAAATCCACAACTCTCTCTCTCTCTCTCTCTCTCTCCCCCCATTATACAGGCATGTATAAGTCAAATTTCTGAATGCAATTAATTCAACTATGTCTTGAGACAATACAAAGTATTCCTTTGTGTAGTAATATATATATATATATTGGGCACATGCTACCAGGAATACAGGTAGTCCTCAACTTACAGCAGTTCATTTAGTGATCATTCAAACTTATGTCACTGAAAAAAGTGACTTATGACTTATTTTTCACATTTACGATCACTGTAGCATCCTTGTGATCACAATTCAGATGCTTGGCCACTGACTCATATTTATGACAGATGCAGTGTCCCGGGATCCCCTTTTGCGACCTTCTGACAAGCAAAGTCAATGAGGGAAGCCATGTTATTTACAATTTACAACTGTTACTAACTTAACTGCAGTGATTCACTTAGCAACTGTGACAAGGTTGTAAAATGGGACAAAACTCACTTAACAAATGTTTCATTTAGCAACAGAAATTTTGGGCTCAATTGTGGTCATAAGTCAAGGACTCCCTGTATTTTCCTTTCTTATTTGCTTGTCCTCTTGGACTAAAGACCTATGGATTTTTTTGTTTTAAAGATAGGGAAAACGATAGGGGAGACCCTATATATATAAAAGGAGGTTTTAGAGAAAAATTCATAATAGGCTTATAGAAAAAGCCAAGCGCCTCCCAGCAAGTACCCTCTCTAGAGCTGGATTCAAATTCTTATCAAACAATAGCAGCCCTTTGTCCTTTTCATGTTTGCTTCCGAAGAATTAAAAAAAAAATAGCTGCTGAGCCTGTTGTTACAGACAGTTCCCCAATTCCCAATCTTCCATGTTTGGGGCTTGCTTCCTCAAACTTATTACCCAGAGACCTTTAAAAAGAAAATGTGAATTACAGCTGGCACAGATACACTTGTGGGGGAACATTTTCAACCAAATATCTCTCTTTCCCACAACCATAGTTCACTCAGAAAGGAGACAGATGCTTTAAAAGATTCCCCCTCCCGGCATGTGCTAGCCATGCTCCGACTCACATGGTGCCCTTTGGATCCAGATCAAGGCTCAACTTATTATCTCAGTTACTTGCAGCCATCATGCAGAACTTAGAATAGGAATGGGTTATTTGCCCAGTTGGGGCTACATAAGAAAATGGGGTTGTTTTGGAGGGCAGAACCATTAGGACTGTGAAGGTTCATAGGAACACGCACATGCACGCACACACTCACAAACATATGTAAACTGAAAAAGGGAAAGCAGTTGCCTAGAAAATAAATGCAATCCACGAGGACTGGACTAGTCAAAGGGCCATGAAATGCCCAGGTCGGACTTAGAATCACAGGGCTGGAAGGGACCTTAGGGGTCTTCTAATCCAACCCCCTGCTCAAGGCAGAAAATCTTATTTTTCCTCCTCCTTCAGCTAAAGACCTTGGTGGTTTTCTAGTCCAACCTCCTGCTTGAGCAGTGAACTTAGTCCTTCCTTCTCCATTTAAGAAACCTTGAAGATCTTCTCGTCCAACTCTTGCTCAAGGCAGGAAACACTGGCTTTTCTTTCTCCATCTAAGCATCCTTGGAGATCTTCTAGTCTGACCTCCTGGCCAGAGCAGGAGACCTTAGTCTTCCCTAAGGATAACTTTTTTGGCTTTAACCAAACACTATTATAGAAACCTCTGATGTCTTCTGAGTACCAAGACGAGACCCAAACAGGCAATACAGCTCAAAATACAGAAATTACGGGAGGAGGTTATTCTGAAAAGAAGGGTTAATAAAGCAGCAACCGCTCTGTTAAGGAAACACCCCCCCCAAAAAAAACCCAGACTGAATGCATCCCCAAATCCAAGGATTTAAGTTGGGGGGGCAGGACAAGGGTCTCCCCTTGTCCACACTGCACGCCGCCCCCCTCAAAAAAAGCCAGGCTCGGCTGCTTCAGGTGCTGCAAAGGGGAGAAAAAAAAGCCTAGAAAAAGGAAAAACAGACAAATAAAGCTCGTTGGGAGAAGACCCCCCCCATTTCACCTGCCCACCCACACTCCGAAAGGGAAGCTGGAGGGGCTCGTCCACATGGTAGAAGGGGAATTGGGGGTCAGAAGCCCCCCAGGTCCCTCCATAAGCCCCCCCAAAGGTTTTCGTGAGGAAACTGCTACCCCCCCTCACCATGGTCTCGGGGGGGGGAAGAGGAGGAAGAGGGAGCGTGGGGGTAGGTTGGGGACACCCTCCCTCCATGGAGAAAAACACCCCCTCCGTTTCCTAGGCGAGCCCCCCCAGAAGCCGGAAAGCGGCCTTCTCGCCCGCTTTGTTTCCCCCCGGCCTGGGCTCGCCAGGGCCGGCCGCCGCTCTCACGCGAGCCCGGGGATGCGCGGCCTACTCGGGCCCGCGATTCCGCTTCTCCCTCCTCCGCCTCAGAAAGGCTGGGGGGGGCGCCGTGGGGGGTCTCCGAGGGGCGGGGCCTGGGGGGGCGACCGTTGCTCCTGTCCCGGCGGGGGGGGGGCGAAGGCACGAGGCCTCCTGAGGAGACTTTCCCCCCCCAACGGAGTCGCTCCCCCTCCCCCCCCGAGGCCCACTTACTCAGGGGTCGGGTGCTCGGGGTCGTAGAAGTCCCCCATCGCGGCGGCTCCTCCTGCCCGGCACGAAGCCCCGATCCGCCCGCCGGGCGCACGGCCGGGATGCTCCGCGCCCTCTGCGCCGCCGCCTCCCGCTCACATCCTTTTCTAACTCCACGGCCGCGCCGAGCCGAGCCGAGCCGAGCCGAGTCCGAGCGAGGCCAACCGAGTCCGAGCGAGACGAGGCCGAGCGGCGTTCTTACCCTCCTCCCGGCCACGCCCCCACCCTTCCCGGCCACGCCCCTTCCTCGCGGAGAGAGCGCCCGCCCACGAGTACAACCGCCTCGTTGGGAAGGGTTCCTCCTCCCATCGTCCCCAGCCTCATAGGACTTGGAGTCCCCGAGCGAGAGAGTTTCTCCTTGCCCGATCTGGGAAGGGTTCCTCCTCCCATCGTCCCCAGCCTCATAGGACTTGGAGTCCCCGAGTGAGAGAGTTTCTCCCTGCCCGATCTGGGAAGGGTTCCTCCTCCCATCGTCCCCAGCCTCATAGGACTTGGAGTCCCCGAGCGAGAGAGTTTCTCCCTGCCCGATCTGGCATGCATCGTGTCATGGGGGCTCTTCTGGCCCCGGGGCTGGCACAGTTTAGCGGCCCATGGTTCTCAATGGACGTGCCCCATGGGACCTGGAGTTCCCGACTAAGAGTTACTCCCCGCCTGATATGGGATGGTAGCTTGCAACGTGGCCGCGGGGCTTGAGCCGCCTAGCCCAGGGTCCCCGGCCGGCGCGCCCCATGGAAGTTGGAGTCCCCGATTGAGAGTTTCTCCCCGACGCATCAGGGATGGCAGATTGCAGTGCGCTTTGGGGGAGCGGGGGGCTCTGCCTGCCGTTGGGCTTGCACCGCTAAGCTCATCGTCCCCGGCCGGCGCGCCCCATGGGAGTTGGAGTCACAGATCGAGAGATTCTCCTCGCTTGCACTTCATCGTCCCCAGCCGGCGCGCTCCATGGGAGTTGGAGTCCCCGACTGAGAGTTTCTCCCCGTGCCCCGGGGGCTCGTTTGACCCGTGGGGCTTGCGCCATTTAGCCCATGGTCCCCGGCCGGCACGTCCCATGGGAGCTGAAATCCCAGACCGAGGGATTCTCTCCGCTCTACCCGGGATCGCAGCCTTCACCGCACCATAGGAGCTTCCAGCCGCGGGGCTTTGCGCCGTTTAGCCCGTGGTCCCCAGCCGGTGTGCCCCATGGGAGATGGAGTCCCCGCCCACTCTGGGCTCATTGAGTGCACTGCGCCGTGGGGGCTCCTGCAAAACCCCCGAAGAGACCCCTGAATCCCAATTTAACTAAACTGGTTTCCTGGGTGGGTGGGATTCAGTCTCTTCTCTTGCCCCCCTCCCCCAGCCTTGACCTTGTTTCCGAGCCCTCCCCGCGCCCCGCCCCCCCAAAGCAATTTTACAGATGGGAAATTGAGGCTGACCTCGTGACTCTCCAACTGCCTACCGGCTACATACAATATCAGTCCCGATGACGTCATGGGCAGTGACGTCACTCCCTCCCCTTCTACCCTCCCCCCCCCGCCAGGACGGGGCTTTCTTCCGTTTTGAGAGTTGCAGGGACCAGAAGGGTAACATTTTATTTACCTGTCCTTCTGGGCACCTGCGGTATAAACATAATACACATTAATTCGTTTTTAATTCTGTGTTTTACAGTTATAGAGATCGTGATAAACTATTTCTGGCTCAGCTCTAGTAATGCTATTCCTCTGGCTGGGCTGCCTTTTGCGCAAAGCTTCACCCCAGAACGAGGTGTGCAGTTTTTAACTGTAAATGTATAAATGTATGTATAATGAATAATTAATCTCAGTTTGACCTACTTTGCAGGCTGATTGTTGGAGGGAAAAATAGAGGAACGAGGATCAGGTGTGATTGTTGCCCTGAATTTGTTTGTTTATCAAATTTATTCGCTACCCATCTTATCACAGGGTAACATTGTAAATAACCGTGATTTATAAAATAAAGGGAAAAAAATAAACAAACAAATAAATATGCAAGGCCTCCAATCCTGACAATTTGTTTTTTAAATTCAAACTTAGATTTCAAATAATAAAAACTCAGTGGACACTATTTGAGGTTTATGGAAATATAATGATAATAATGATGATAAAGTTGGAAGGGACCTTGGAGGTCATCTAGCCCAACCCCCTGCTCAGGCAGGAAACCCTATACCATTTCGGACAAATGGCTGTCCAGTCTCTTCTTAAAAACTTCCAGTGTTGGAGCATTCACTGCTCCTGGAGGCAGGTTGTTCCACTGGTTAATTGTTCTGTCAGGAAGTTTCTCCTTAGTTCTAGGTTGCTTCTCTCCTTGATAAGTTTCCATCCCTTGCTTCTTGTCTCGACTTTGGGGGCTTTGGAGAATAGCTTGACTCCCTCTTCTTTGGAGCAACCAATATTCTGTTGGAATATTCATGAGCAGGAAGAGTCATGTGGTAACTCAGTCAGCCAATGGGAAGAAACTGCTACTGAGTCTGTGCAAAAGGTATTGAGTTAGAACAGTGGTTCCAACCTTTTTAATGCCGCGACCCCCAACCGGTCGTAAGTCAAGGACTACTCAACTGGTGCAGCAACGTTTGCAGAATGGGACTTTTGGCGGGCTCAGCAGGGCAGAGACAGCCTGGACAATTCCTATTGGCTTTTGAAAGCCAATAGAATTAGACTCTATTCAAGAGAGTCTATTCTATTGGCTTTCAAAAGCCAATAGAATAAAAGGGAGAGCACAGCTAAGGAAAAGGGGGGAAAAATGGCGGACTGCGTTGTTTGGCGACCCCCGTGAAATGGTCGTTTGACCCCAAATGGGGTCCCGACCCACAGATTGAGAACCACTGAGTTTGAAACTGAATTTCCAGTCTCAGATTTGTCTCTGTACCTCTCTGAAAGAAGTCTTCATTGAGCTATGTTGCTGTAAAGAAGAATGCATGGTATTGTAAACATTTTGATATGAATATAAAAAGGTTATTTTGAATCAGCTAAATGCAATCAACTGTGAAAGCTTCTGATTTATTTTTCAACAAAAGAGAAATTAAAATTCTCTAACGCCCTCAGATATTGGAACACTGCTATCATGTCCCCCCTCGTCCTTCTCTTTGTTAAACCAGACCTACCCAATTCCAGCAACTATTCCTTGTATGTTTTAGCCTCCAGTCCCCTAATCATCTTTGTTGCTCTTCTCTGCACTCTTTCTAGAGTCTCAACCTCTTTTTTACATCGTGGTGACCAAAATTGGATGCCGTATTCCAAGTGTGGCCTTACCAAGGCCTTGTAAAGTGGTATTAATACTTCACGTGATCTTGATTCTATCCCTCTGTTCATGCAGCCCAGCACTGTGTTGGCCTTTTTGGCAGCTGCAGCACACAGCTGGCTCCTATTTAAGTGATTGTCCACTAGGACTCCGAGGTCCCTCTCACAGTTGCTACTATTGAGCAAGGTACCAGCTATACTATAACTGTGCATTTGGTTTTTCTTGCAGAACCTTGCTTTTTTCACCATTGGTAACTAAGCCATGTAGGATGGGCTTCCTTAAAGGATGGATAGATGGATAGATGGATGGAGGGATGGATGGATGGATAAGGAAGAAAGATGGATGGATAGATGGATGGATGGATGGATGGATGGATGGATGGATGGATGGATGGATGGATGGAAGGATGAAGCTATGGATGGATGGGTGGATGGATAAGGAAGAAAGATGGATGGAAGGATGGATGGATGGATAAGGAAGAAAGGTGGATGGATGGTTGGATGGATGGATGGAAGGATGGAGGGATGGATGGATAAGGAAGGATGGATGGATGGAAGGAAGTATGGATGGATAAGGAAGAAAGATGGATGGAAGGATGGAGGGATGGAGGGATAAGGAAGGATGGATGGATGGAAGGATGGATAAGGAAGAAATATGGATGGAGGGATGGAAGGAAGGAAGGAAGGAAGGATGGAGGGATGGATGGTTGGATAAGGAAGAAAGATGGATGGAAGAATGGAGGGAGGGATGGATGGATAAGGAAGAAGGATGGATGGATAAGGAAGAAGGATGGAAAGATGGATGGATGAAGAAAGATGGATGAAAGGATAGAGGGATGGATGGATAAGGAAGAAGGATGGTGGGAGGAATGGATGGAAGGATTGAGAGATGGAGGGATGATGGTTGAATGGAAGGATGGAGGGATGAGGATGGATGGATGAAGGATGGAGAGCTGGCTGGATAGAGGGATGAATGGATAATGAAGGATGGATGGATAGATAGGGAAGAATGGGCGGAGGGATGGATGGGTAAGGAAAACGGATAGAGGGATGATTGGATGGATAAGAAAAAAGGATGGATGATGAAGAAGGAACGATGGATGGATGCTGAAGGGTGGATGGATGGATATGGATGAATGGATGGAGGGATGGAGTGATAAGGAAGAATGGACCAAGGGATGGAGGGATGGATGGATGGATGGATGGATAAAGAAGGATGGATGGAGCAAAAAAGAAGGATGGAGGGATGGAGGGATAAGGAAGAAGAATGGATGCATGCATGGATAATGAAGGATGAATGGATAGATGGCTGGCTGGCTGGCTGGTTAATGTCAGCCTGGTCCCAACTCAGATGTTTAGGAAAGAAAGACGTTAACTCCATTTGTTTGAAGTGAAAGGATCTTTTACTCCAGAGGTCTAAGCGCTTGCAGAGAAAGTAAAGCTAGATCTGAATATCCTCTCCCCCCCATTCCCTGGCTCTCCCCCCCCCATTGGCCAGCCCAATAATGTCCGGTGGGAGGCCTTTTTGATATTTTGGGAACAGCTGGGATGTTTGGCGCCTCTCCCTGCGGTTTGGCATACTGTTCTTAGGCTTTGTCCTTGATTTTTATTTTTTGTCCCAGTTTAGTCTGGATCAGCATCTCTGGTTCCTGCCACCCTGAAAATCCCCCCACCCCATTATCCCCCCCCCACAGGTTCCCATGTCCAGTCTTTACTTCCTCCGTTGCCTTTCCCCTCCCTTGCGTTGAATGGCGGGATGCCAGCAGGCCTGACAGATAAGATGGGTGGGTGGGTGGGTGGAGGGAGGGAGGGAGGGAGGGATGAATAAGGATGGATGGTTAAGGAAGGAAGGAAGGAAATAGATGGATAGATAAGGATGGATGGATAAGATGGATGGATGGATAAGGAAGAAGGATGGATGGATGGATAAGATGGATGGATGGATAAGGAAGAAGGATGGATGGATGGATGGATAAGATGG